TTTTTTTTTTTTTTTTTGTGTGTGTGTGTGTGTGTGTGTGTTGCAGGACTAGGGTTTGATACCAGGGCCTTGCAAATATTAGGCAAGCACTCTACTCTGGGCCACATCCCCATCAATACTTTTATTTATTTTTATGTGATGCTGAGGATTGAACCCAGTACCTCACACATGCTAGGTAAGCACTTTACCACTGAGCTACAACCCCAGCTCCCCATCCTTTTTTATTTTGGGATAAGGTCTCTAAGTTGCCCAGACTGCTTTGAAGTTTAAATCCTCTTACCTCTGTCTCCTGAGTATCTGGGATGAAGACATGACCACCGTGCTCAGCTGTTATTTTTTTGTTTTTGTTTTAGGAGCAGTCTTTTATTTATTTATGTTTGCAGTCTTTTGTTTTTATACACTTTGACAAAGAGGTTTTCAGGAGACAATCTTTTCAGTGGAAAATAGAGAACGTGAAAATTTGCCCTCCAGCTATCAGTAGCTCAAGGTCTGTCATCCCACTTGCTCAAGGAATGAAGTGGAGGGGTGTATTTCCCTTCCTTTCGTAGCTGATTTCAGTACTTTATCCTCCCAACATCTGTACTAGGGTTTGAACCCCAAGAGGTGCTTAACCACCAAGCCACATCCTCAGTCCTTTTTTATTTTTTATTTAGACAGGGTCTCACTGAGATGCTTAGGGCCTTGCTAAATTATTGAGTCATGATCCTCCTGCCTCAGCCTCCCGAGCCACTGGGGTTATAGGTCTGCCCTCGCATCCTACTGCTTCTTGATGGTATTCATGTGTTTTTGTCATTTTCTGCCTAAACATATATTCTGTGAAATCAAATCTGTTTTGTACTGTATGCCTAGATATTATTGGTTTTATGTGCGCATGCTCTCCATTCTTTTTCAAAAGCATGGCATTGAATAGGAACTTTGGATTGTCATCTAATTATCTATATTAAGGCCCAGCCTTTTCTGCACATCAGAAAAAGGCATGGTACTTGGTTCACACCCGTAATCCCAGGAACTCAGGAGATGAGGCAGAAGGATTGCAAGTTTGAGGTCTCAGATTTTTAAAAATGACAGGGATGTAACTCAGAGGTAGCACTCCCCTGGGTTTAGTTCCCCCGCAAAAAAAGAAGGGGAAAAAAAATGGCATGACATCCTGCCATACAGCCCTTATCTTCTTGCTGCCACTGCTTTCAGTGGAAGTTTAGATTGTTAATTTGAGATCTTTCTTTTTTCCTAATATAAGCATGTAATGCTTTAAATTTCCCTCTGAGCACTACTTCAGCTTCATCCTACAAATTTGATGTGTTTTTTTTGGTGGGGGAGGTGGGTACTGGGTATTGAACCCAGAGGCGCTTAACCACTGAACCACATCTCCAGCCCTTTCTATTTTTCATTTTGTGACATGGTCTCAGTAAGTTGCTTAGGACCTCACTAAATTGCCGAGGCTGGCTTTGGACTTGTGATTCTCCTGCCTCCACCTCTCAAATTGCTGGGATTAAAGCTGTGTGTCACTGTGCCCATGGAGTATATTTTTATTTTTTATTCAATTGGAAATGTTTCCTTTTTTGGTGGGGGGAGGAGGGTACCAGGGATTGAACTCAGGGATATTGGACCACATACTGAGCCACATCCCCAGCCTTTTTTTTTTTTGCATTTTATTTAGAGATTGTCTCACTGAGTTGCTTAGTGCCTTGGTTTTGCTGAGGCTGGATTTGAACTTTCGATCCTCTGCCTCAGCCTCCTGAACCACTGGGATTACAGTGTGAGCCACCATGCCCAGCAAAAATGTTTTCTAATTCTTCTTGAGACTTTTTCCTTGATCCGTGGAATATTTAGAAGAGTGTGTTCTGTTTCCAAATGTTGGAGGGTTTTTCCCATTTATATATATATATATACACACACACACACACACATATGTATATGTGTATATATGTATGTGTATATATGTGTATATGTGTATATATGTACATATGTGTGTATGTGTATATATATATGTGTGTGTGTGTATATGTGTATATACGTGTATATATGCATGTGTGTATATGTGTGTATGTGTGTGTATATGTGTATGTGGGTATATATGTATATATGTGTGTGTATATATGTGTGTATATATATTTAATTGGGGATTGAATCCAAGGGTGCTCTACCACTAAGCTACATCCCAGCCCTATTTTGTATTTTTTATTTAGAGACAGGGTATCACTGAGTTTCTCAGGGTCTTTCTAAGTTGCTGAGGCTGGCTTTGAACTCGTGATCCTCCTGTCTTAGCCTCCTGAGCAGTTGGGATTACAGGTGTGTACCACTGCTCCTAGATCCATTCCCATTAATCTTTAATACTGAGTTCCAATTTAATTTCCTTAGGGTCAGAGAACATATTCTGCATTTAATTATTTAAAATTTGTCAAGATCTGTTATAGATCGAGGATATTATCTATGTTGGTGAATGTTCATGTGTTCTTTATAAGAATGTGTATTCTGTTGAGTGGAGTGTTTTATAAATGTTGATTAGATATAGTTAGTTGACACTATTGTTCACATCTATATCCTTATTTATTTTCTGTCTAATGAATTACTAAGAGGAGACTTGACGTCTTTTTTTCTTTTTTTGTATTGGGAATTGAACCCAGGGGCACTTTACCACTGAGCTACATCCCCAGAATTTTTTATTTTTTATTTTGAGAGAAGGTCTTGCAAAGCTGGCCTTGAATTTGTGATTTTCCTGCTGCAGCCTCCTGTGTCACGTGGGATTATGGTGGGGTTATGGAAGTGACCAAACCCAATCTTAAGTCTTAAACTATAATTGTAGTTTCCTTCATTTCTCCTTTCAGTTATTTCATATTGTGATTCATGTACTTGGAAGCTCTGTTGTAGGAATTTTTATATCTTCTTAGTATCATTGTTATATAATGTCCTTTTATTCCTAATATATTTTCTTGTTCTGAAATCTACTTTGATAGAAATATATCTGTTCCAGCTTTTGATTAGTGTTTGAGTGATATATCCTTTTCCTTCTAACCTACATAATTTTTGCCTTTTTTGAGGGGTGGGTAGGTACCAGGGATTGAACTCAGGAGCACTGAACCACTGAGCCACATCCCCAATCCAATATTCTATTTTATTTAGGGACAAGGTCTCACTGAGTTGCTTAGTACCTCACCGTTGCTGAGGCTGGCTTTGAATTCTCGATCCTCCTGTCTCAGCCTCCCTAGCCCCTGGGATTACAGACATGTGCCATTGCACCTGGAAATATAATTTTGCCTTTTATTATTATTTGTTTTGGGGGTGAAATTGAACTCTGGGTCTTATGCATATTAAACATGTGCTCTACCACTTGGCTCTGTGGTACACTCTCAGCCTACCTTTTACTGTTTTTTGTTTGATTTTTGTTGTGCTGGGGATGGAATCTGGGAACTTGTGCATGCTAGGAAGGTACTCTATCACTAACTATCCCACCACAATCACCTATCTGTCTTTTTCATGATAACCATCCTAGTGGATGTAAAGTGCTATTTTGTTGTGGTTTTGATTTATTTAATTAACCATTTTCTTAAATGATATAATGTTGAGCATCTTTTCCTGTACTTATTGGCTATTTATTCTTAGAATTGTCTCTTCATGTCCTTTGCCCATTTTAAACTGGGTTATTTCCCTGTTATTGTTGAGTTATAAGAGTTTTTTGTATTCTGAATACTAAACCTTTATCAGATAAATTATTTGCAGATATTTTCTCCCATTCTATGAGTTAACTTGTAACTTTCTTATGGTGTCTTTTTAAGCTCTAAAACTGTTTTTTTTTTAAGAGAGAGTGAGAGGAGAGAGAGAGAGAATTTTTAATATTTATTTTTTAGTTCTTGGCGGACACAACATCTTTGTTGGTATGTGGTGCTGAGGATCGAACCCGGGCCGCACGCATGCCAGGCGAGCATGCTACCGCTAGAGCCACATCCCCAGCCCGTTAAGCTCTAAAACTTTTAAATTAACCTGTGTTGGTTTGTATACCTTTGACTTGGCTACTCAGGAGGCCAGGGCAGGAGGATCATTTGAACATATGAATTTGAGAGCAGCCTGGGCAACAAAGCAAGTCTTTGTCTCAAATTTAAAAAAAAAAAAAAGGAAACAAACAATAATTATTATATTTGATGAAGTCCAATTTGTCTTTTTTTTTCCTTTGGTTGTTTTTTTTTTTAAGAAAATATCATTTTAAAGAATAATAACCATTGCTATGGTCATGAAGGTTTCCTCCTAAATTTTTACTCTGATATTTAGGTTATTAATCCATTTTGAATTAATTTTTATATAGGTATATGGTAGGGGTCCAACTTCATTGTTTTGCATGTGGATATCCAGTTGTCTCAGCACCATTTGTTAAAGAGATTATTCTTTCTCCATGGAATTCTTTGGCACTATTGTCAAAAATTCTTCAACTACTGTGTAAGATTTCTCCTTCCCACTGGGTTTTCAATTCTGTTCCATTAATCTATATGTCTCTCTGTCTTTTTTGTTTCTAATTTTACATTTCATACATCACCCAGTTTTTTTTAAAACATATGTCTGTCTTATGCTAGTAGTACAGTGTCTTGATTTCCGTGAGTTTTAGAAATTGAGAAGTGCGAATCCTTTAACTTTATTCTTTTTCAAAAAAATGTTTTGGCCATTCTTTTTTTTTTAGAGAGATAATTTTTTAATATTTATTTTTTAGTTTTCGGTGGACACAACATCTTTTATTTTTATATGGTGCCAAGGATCGAACCCAGCGCCCTGATCATGCCAGAGGAGCGTACTACCGCTTGAGTCACATCCCCCGCCCATTTTGGCCATTCTGGGTTGCTAGATTTAGCTTTTCAATGTATGCAAAGAAGCCAGCTGGGACTAATAGAGATTGCACTGCATCAGTAGATCAATTTGGAGAGTATTACCAATTTTACTTAACAATATTGTCTTCTAATGCATAAACATAGAGTGTCTTCATTTATTAAGACCTTCAGTTTTTTTCAACAATATTTTATAGTTTTCAGAGTATTAAGTTTTACACATCTTTTGTTAAATTTGTTTCTAAAGCCAGGCATGGTGCCATACACCTGTATTCCCAGCTATTTGAGAGGATGGGGCAGGAAGATAGCTTGAGCCCAGGAGTTCAGGACCAGCCTGGGCAATATAATGAGATCCCATCTCAAAAATAAAGAAGGACACACACACATGCACACACATGTATATTCCTAAGAATTTTATTCTTTTGATGATATATGAGGTAGAATCATTAATTTCATTTTCAGATTACTAAATACTAATGTATAGAAATAGTTTATTTTTGTATTCCTGCAAACTTGCTGAATTCATTAGTTCTAATATTCTTATAGTGGATTCCGTGGAATTTCCTTTCTAATCTGGATGTCTTTTAGTTCTGTTTCTTGCCTAATTGCCTTGGTTAGCTCTCAGTACAAATTGAGTAGAAGTGGGGCGTACAGATCACCTTCTCTTGTTCCTCATCTCAGCTTTCATCATTAAGTATGGTATTAGCTGTTGGGTTTTTTTTTTTTGTAGATGCCCTTTGTTTGGTTAAGGTTCCCTTCTATTACCAGTTTGTGTTTTTATTATGGCGGGGTTTTGAATTTTTTTGAAATTTTTTTTGTAGTTGTAGATAGACAGAATGCCATTATTTTATTTGTTTATTTTTATGTGGTACTAAGGAACAAACCCAGTGCTTCACACATGCTAAGCAAGTGCTCTGCCACTGAGCTACAGTCACAGCAGTGTTGGATTTTTTAAAATGTGCTTTCTGCATATATTGAGATGATTATGGTTTTTTAAAATTTTGTTGTTGGACAAAATATTTGTTTGATGAGTGCTGTATTCTGGGTCTGGAAGGTCCCTCAAAGGCCCGTGTGTTAAATGCTTGATCCCAGGGTAGCCCTATTGGGAAATGGTGGAACCTTCAGTAGATGGAGCCTAGTGGAAGGTCTTCAGGTCATTGAGTGGTTAGTAATTATTTTAGTGCTTTCATTTGAAAAGGTATATTTTACCTTTATCCTAGAAGCTATTTTTGCTAGATATAGAATTCTTGGATGACAGTTAATTTATTTCAACATTTAAAAACTGTTTTTACTTCTTTCTGGCTTCATGGTTTCTGTTGAAAAATCCAGCCTTTCAAAGAAGTTGTTCCCCTACAGAAAATTCATCATTGTTTTCTGGCTGATTTTAGGATTTTTCTTGTTTAGTTTTCAAAGTTTCATTATGACATATCTGGGCTTGGAGTTTTGTTTTATTATTGCTAATTTATTCTGTTAACTAAGCTGCTATTGCTGCTGTTTCTTCTTCTTCTTCTTTTTTTTTTTTGTAGTTGTTTTGTTGTTCTGGAGATTTAACCCAGGGTGCTTTACTTCTGAGTTATACCCCCACCCCCCTTTTCACTGAGCTTTTTGATATGGAAGTTTATATCTTTTTTCAAACTAACATCAAGTTTATCCTTGTCATCTCCACTCTGATATTGAGCCTGTCCTAAGGATTTTAAGTTTTGGTTATTTGTGTTTTTCAGTTCTAAAATTTCCCCTTCATAACTTGTATCTTATCTTACAATTTCTTTTTTCATTCATTTTAAAAATATTTACCAATATTTTTTTTTCAGTTTTGGCAATACTGGGGATTGAACCTAGGACACTCTTTATCACTGAGCTACATCCCATCCCCAGACATTTTAAATTAAAAAAAAAATTTAAATTTGTAATCCACCTGTCTCACCTCCTGAGGAGGCCATGTGTTGCTGGGATTACAGGTATATACCACCAAACCCAGCTAGTATGTTTACCAATACTTTCTGAAGGCTGGTTTAAGATAGTGCTTTATGTGACAGTTTGACAATTGACTCACCTCACTGAGAGCATCCTACTTGTCATTTTTGTGCCATGGTGAGATTTCACTGATTTTGATAACACTGGATAACTTTGGATTATATCCCGGCTATTTGAGTATTATGTTGAGATGAGGGATCTTGTTTAAATCCTAAGCAGAATTTTGGTTGTTTAAAGTTTAACTCTAGTTAAACTAGAGTTTTCTCAACTAGCCTGATTAGGCCTGTGTCTGCACTAGTCAGGCGTGGATCCGTAGCATACATCTAGGATCTGACCCCACATACACAGCTGGGCATTAAGCCGGGGAGCTCACATAGACTTACTCAATCATTCAGTTTCTCCCCGCCCCCCCCCCCACAGGCTCTCTGTGGTAATTTATAGCTCTTCAGGGCCTCCCTTCCAAGGTCTCCAGCCAGAAATATAGAGCTTTTGCTTCCCAGCCCGCTACATAATTCCTCCATTGTGTCCAGGCCCACTGCAGGGGCAGAGGGTACAGCAGAGTTGCCCCATGCTCTGGGGGCTGTAGCTTCCCTCTCTGGGTTCAGATACCTGCTTGGTGGACACAGACAGCCCTCACCATACCACCACTGGCACTTCTATGAAGAAAGAGAAAAATGGAAATTCCAGACTCTCTAACCTATAGGGCTTCATTTCCTCCGTCCTAGACACATTCTCCAGGGGCCTTTCTGTCCACAGTAGGTATACATCCAGTTTCAAACTGCCTTCTTATCCAGGCTGAGCAATATTAGAAGAAAAAAGTAGTGACCTATTCCAATGAACTTTTGAGTGTGGTCTTTCTCATCTGCCTGCCCCTGCAGCTGATGGTCATGGTCAGCAGGGATTATAATGCAGGGCTGGAAAAGAGGGAAGGCCTGCCAGGGAGAAATCAGGACACCTGAGGAAGGCCCCCATCACATACAACTAACCAGGTTGAGCAGAGCAAAGCCACTGGTGGCACTTGGCAAACATATACCTACAACACAAGTATTGCAGACAGTATACACAGGCACACAAGGAATAGATTTGTGCACACAATAATTTGCTGCACACACTTGATACAGATGTGTACTTGACACGTACACTTAGACTCACAGACCTACATACAAGGGTGACACATGCACACTCCCTGGGCTTTTCTTGACACTGGTCCAGTTTCTTGAGACACAGGTTTGTCCCATTTAATTGAGAGGGGCTGGGGATGTACTCTAGAACAATTGCCTGGCATGCACAACGCCCTGGAATTTGTTCCCCAGCACCACAGAGTGACCCACAAAGGGGCAGTGATGTATTGATGGGGCTGCAGAGTTCTGGCCTCAAGGATTCTTCCCCTGGAAAGCCAGCCCCCACTTGCTCCAGGCCTGACTTTTGCCCTTCACCCTGGCTCTGCTCAGCAGCCCCACCCAACCTGGGCCCTAGGCTGGTTATAGACATGTCAGCAGAGCTGGGTCAGGGGCTGGTGGTTATGTGAAGCTATTTTTAAGTCTAGCTCTGTGGCTGGCACTCCCACCCTCAGCCACTCTGCCACTACTGGCCACCTGCCGCCGCCTGTCCCGCTTGGAATGTTGATTGGCAGTTGGCTGGGATGGGGGTTGGGGACAGACCGTTATAAAGCTCGGGGTGCTAGGGAGGCAGCTGTCCCTGTCTGGAGCCCGTGTCTCCCTGCCACCATGGCTACCCACCGCCTAGTGATGGTCCGCCACGGTGAGAGCACATGGAACCAGGAAAACCGTTTCTGTGGCTGGTTTGATGCAGAACTGAGTGAGAAAGGGGCAGAGGAGGCCAAGCGTGGGGCCAAAGCCATCAAGGACGCCAACATGGAGTTTGATATCTGCTACACATCAGTGCTGAAGCGGGCCATCCGGACCCTCTGGACCATCCTGGATGGCACAGACCAGATGTGGCTGCCTGTAGTGCGCACTTGGCGCCTCAATGAGCGGCACTATGGGGGCCTCACAGGCCTCAACAAGGCAGAGACCGCTGCCAAGCACGGGGAGGAGCAGGTGAAAATCTGGAGGCGCTCCTTCGACACCCCGCCACCCCCTATGGATGAGAAGCACCCCTACTACAATGCCATCAGCAAGGTGGGCTGCTGGGAAGATCCCTGGAAGGTCTGAGGTTGGGAACCTGGGTTGGAAACCAATTGCCCAGGGAGGGAACAGCAATGTCCCCGTTCCTCTCCCCAGGAACGTCGGTATGCAGGCCTGAAACCTGGGGAGCTGCCCACCTGTGAGAGTCTCAAGGACACCATTGCCCGGGCCCTGCCTTTCTGGAATGAGGAGATTGCCCCCCAGATCAAAGCTGGCAAGAGAGTGCTCATTGCAGCCCATGGGAATAGCTTACGGGGCATCGTCAAGCACCTGGAAGGTGAGGCCCACCCTCAGGAGGGTGTGGGGCAGAGACAGGTGGGGATGACAGTGCCTTTCCTTTTGGCAACTGAGCAGAGGTGGGGGTTTCAATCAATGCATTGAATATAGAAGGCCGAGAAAACATTTTAAAAACCATTCTGTGACTTACTTCATTTCTATATGTTCTGGGAAAGTTGTGGGTTTCATGGACACAGCACCCATTGGGCCAGCCTGCCTGGGGAGGTGGCACCCCCCTGCCCCACCATAGGAGCTGAAAAGAGGTGAGATAGGCTTGAAGGTGGCATCTTTCCCAAGGATACCCAGCTAGGAAAAGGGCCAGGACTCAGGGCACTTGGCTCCAAATCATTGCAGGGGAGCTAATGTGTGCAGGGAATCTGCTCTCTTGGGTTCCCCTTCCCAAGAGAACCATGAAATTTGGTGCAGAGCTAATGAATACCCACCCAGCCTCCAGCATGTACTGTGGCTCCCTCTAAAGAGCGAGGAAGGCTGGGTGCATTGGCAAATGCTGGTAATCCCAGCCACTTGGAAGGCTGAGGCAGGAGGATTCCAAGTTTGAAAAACAGCCTCAGCAACTTGGAGTGTCCCTAAGCAACTTAGTAAACTCTCAAAAAATACAAAAAGGGTTGGGGAGGTGGCTCAATGGTTACTCCCTGTCCCCGCCAAAAAGAGCAAGGAATGTTGACAAATGGGCCTGGAGATCTACGCAGGAAAGGGGAGGCCCCCACGTGATGGTCTCCTCCACTAGTTCTTAGATGTCAGGACAGTCTAAATTAGCCTCTGAATGACCTTCAGGTGTGTTGAGACCATAGTAAAGGAATGGGATGTACCCTAGATCTCTGGCTCCTATGTGCTGAACACCCCCCCACCCCGGCAACTCCTTCTGGGGGCTCCATAACCCCACATGCCTCAACCTGCACTAAAGGGAAGAGGCACTATGGTGAGTGTGATCAGGCACCAGGCGGGTGGGGGTGTTCCCAACTTCCCAGGGAACATTCTCTAGTCCTTCCACATGGTGGGGGTAGGGTGATGCCAATGCCAGATTGAATTGCTACTGGTGGTGGGTCCTGCAGCAGCAGGCAGGGTCAGGTTTCCACTCATTCCTCTGCTCAGAATTTAGAATCTAGAAACCAAATGGTTAGGATATCCTTCCGACCTTCAACTTTAGTCTGGCCAGTTCATATTGGGCTGAGGAAACAGTGGATAGCACCACACAGGTCACAGCTGCTCACAGAGGATGAAGTTCATGTCTTGCCACTGGGCTATTTCTGTAGGCTGCTCAGTTTAGCTTAGTTCTGCCTTGACCTTTAGGTACATTTTTGTGGCCTTGATCTCAGGGCTGGGAGGATTAGTGCCAGGCAGCCCAGCTTGTTGCCCCAAAAGTCCATTATGTCTGTTGTATGGAAAGGCTGTGGATAGAGAGGCTAAGGATGTTATTTTCTGGTCCAGGGATGTCAGACCAGGCCATCATGGATTTGAACCTGCCCACTGGGATCCCCATCGTGTACGAGCTGGACCAGGCACTGAAGCCCACCAAGCCTATGCGGTTCCTGGGAGATGAGGAGACAGTGCGGAAGGCCATGGAAGCTGTGGCTGCACAGGGAAAGGCTAAGTGAGGGTGGGTATGGCAATAAAGACAACTCTCTGCATATTGCCTTGAGTTCAATATGGCCAGGCATGGCAGGGTCATGGCCTACTCAGCTCACCCCATTAGCTGTGTTGGCCCCAGGGACCAGTACAGCTATTCCTGGAGCCTACATCACTCAGGGACAGGAGCCTAGTGCCCAGACCTGGCTATTGGGGTTGAACCAGGGAGGTGACTACCTGTACTCCAAAGAAACCCTCAAGCTTTAAAGCCATTTGGTAACCATGTTCTTGAATTAGGGTACTTTAGGGAGAGGAGCTTAAGTGACCCAGCCCTCCCCAAAGGAAGCACAGGGCAATATTTCTTGGCGAGCTTCCTTTCTTTAGAGAACAAGTGGTTCTCTACTATCTCTAAGCCCCACCTCCTGGTGAGCACAGACAAGCCCATGGGGCCTCACAGCTTACAACAGGCCAGATTCATAAGGTTGCCATGGCTTGCTATCTTTATAGTAGAATGGGGGGAAGCCTAAGTAAGGGACAGGCAGGATTGGCACTGGGGAACATCAGGCTTGACCACTGCTTTCCTCATGCAGCCTTCACCCTAGGCTGCCAGCAGGTGAGGCCCAGAATCAAGCATGCCATTGGGCACCTCCTAGGCACAAGGACCTTATTGCCCAGTTATTGAGCAGGTCTCCATGTGTATTGTGCCATATAGCAAAAACTCCTTATGGTAGGGAGCTGCACTGCCTTTTAGTTCCAGAGGAACTAAAATGCAGGCAGGCTCCAATTTCAGTCACATGCTAACATTTATGCCTCTCCTAGTTGACTAATTGGTCACTGAGGTCTGAGGATAGGACCGTGCATACGCATGTGCATTTTCACTCACACAAACACATCCATCCCAGACACAAAGCAGATGCAGACTTCCAGTTGGGGTTTGTTTCCACATAGGAGTGGCAAGCTACAGCAGGTAAGACCAGAACTGGGAGCCTGGGTACCAAACTGCAATTCTTGGATTTGTTCTACAGACACACAGGCTGGGATAGAAAACAGGGAGACAGCAAGGACACATCGTGTCTTTGATTTTTCACATACCCAGAAATGGGAGCTTGGTCATCCCATCCCCACTTCCCAAGGCCCAAACAGAGGGACAGAAATGGAGTGGGGCCAGGCAGGTTCCAGTAAGACAATAACTCCCTGCTGTCAAACTCATCATGGTCCACTGACTTTGGTCATAGACTGGTAAAAGCAATTCTCTAAATTCACTGTTCCCAAAGGTCATTCTAAATAGTTACAGCCACCATCCTTTAGAAGCCAGAGAGAAAGAAAGAAGAGGCAAATGCAGAAGGCTGCTCCAGATGCTCCTGCTCAGAGACCTGGCTTAGCAGTACTACTTACTCTCTTCAGGCAGAGATTACCTGGGGGCTCACTATGGGTGGGGCTTAGCTTAGTGTCCCACAGATGTGAAGAGCCACACTAGTGGAAGGATCTGGGAAGTTGCAGGAAGTGTGTTTGTGAATCACTGGGTTATTGCTGCATCTGGGGTGACAGAGGCTGAACCACCCAAGCCAGAGGAGCCCTGAGGCCTTTTCCTCATTGTGGTTCCATTCTTGGAAGTGCCAAACACTGACTCTTGCATCTTCTCTTTTAACAATAAGGAAGCCACATCTGGGTGGGGAAGGGAAAGATGGGCTTCAGCCTCACTCAATGAGCTCCACATAGTTGGCAGGGAACATGCCAAAGTGGCCATCGGGTCCATAGCCACGCCACCAGCCTTCGTCGATCACCTCGATGCCAGTAATGAGGTTCTCAGGATCAAAGGAGATCTCGGTGTCATCTGCTGCAGGAAGATTAAGCCCAGGTGCTACATCAGGGGCCCTGCTCACAAGTCTCCAATACTTGTGTGCCTCTTGGGCAGCCCTATCCCCTCATGCACTAGAGCTTTTGGCTGTCTGCTTTCTCCTTGGTCACGTCCCATTGTCATACAAACCATACAGAGCCTAATAGTACTGCAATGCCCGCCCCCTACACCTGGGAACATCTTCCTACAGAGCACTTCTACAAAAGGCTGCTCCCCAAAGACCCTCAGCCCTTTCCCCAAGGTCTCCTCTGGGAAGTCAGCTCCATTCTCTGGTCAGACCTGGAGGCTATACAAGATGGCAACTGGGGTTCCTGTGAAGGGATGGTAAGCAGCTGGCTAGAGTATGTAGGGGAGGCCCAGGCTGTCTTAGGATGGAAACTTCAGTGCCATGGTCATCACAATTCCAGTGGGGCTTCCATCCTCAAACTTACCTCCCACCTTCCTCTTTGTTTCCCAACACCCTTGGTGCTGTCTCCCTACAGAGCCCCAGTCATTTGCTCCTAACTCCTAATCTCAGGACCCATGATCTGTGGCAGCCAGGTAGGGCACCTTACCTGCTTGATAGTCGTACAAGGCCCGGGCACACAGCCCTTGCCCACTAAGCCCCTGGCCCTGTGTATAGTGGTCAATGTGCTCAGAGCCAGTGTCTTGCTGCTGGACCTGCTGAGAGAGAAAGATGGGATTAACCCAGACTCAGCCTTCTCACCTAGGTGGCTCAGGTCAAGCTGGGGCCTGAGAAGGGGGTAACAGCACACAGGGTGAGCGGCAACATAAGGCTGGGGGCTACTGCTGTCCTAACACACCCGCACCACAGTCATCTCCCCAAGATATAGAGGCTGAAAGACAGTGCAAATGCCTTTGTAGTCCCAAACTACAAGGTGCTTCCCTCACCCAGCATTAGTCACATGGGCACTGGCTCACATAATTTATAGCATGGGGTTCTTTCAAAAGTTGAATGAGAATCCATAAGTGCTTCAAAACCGTTAGTGTGTCACAGAAAACTCATGCCTGTGACTCCTTTATTGCCCCACCCCACTATAGAGAACCCACCATTGGAGGCTCCTCGTAGAGGGGCTCTTGCTCTGGAGGCTCCTCGTACGTGGCTTCCTCTTCTGCCTGCACCAGACTTGGAGGAATGCTGGCTGCTGGCTCCTCACAGACATCTGCATAGAGGACATAGCAGCTTCTGACTCCTCTCCTTCCCACAACCCTCCCTTCTCCACCATAGTCCCCCTCCAGGGTCCCATAGAATAATAAATGCCTTGCCTGCTCTGGGCCTTGAGACAGCAGAAGTTGGCTCTCTGCCAAAGGAGGTCTCTGGTTGGGTGAGCTGTTTCTGCAGGAAGGGGCTCCTCAGCTTGCCTGCAAACCCCCACAAACAACATCCCCACCACTTCAGAACCACTTCTTGGCACCCACACACCCACTTGGTCTGTTAGAGCAGCCCAAGGGAGCTGGCCCCAGCTAGCACGGGTACAGACACTCCAGGGCTGTGCAGAGAGATGGCAGGCAGCACAGCCATATGGGTAGGAGGAGACACCTCAGCCCAAAGCTACTCTCCTCACTTATTCCTTGTCATTCTCCAATACACCTACCTGTCTTGTGACCAGGCCCAGAGGGATGACCCACCTGGCTGAGGGCTAGAGATGGAGGTGGTAGACATGGCCCTCTCCTTCTGCTTGAAAATCTCCCGTGGGTGTGCAGTCCGCTGATCAGAAAACACCTAGGGGAGCACACATTGACCTGAGCAGTAAGACTCAAGAGCTTCTCACATCACTGCTCCCTACCCCAGCAAGTAGGCCCTGAAGGCTACAGCGGGGCCAAGAAGCCTAGGGGCTGATAGGGCCTCTCCCAGGACTAGGCTGCAATCCATGCCAGAAGTTTCTGCTCCTGGTTTTCCTTCCCACTGGCATATCTGATATGCCCAGATATATCTCAGGAATCTGAGCTGAGCCCTCAATCTGAGTTCAGGCGCTTTGACATGTGATGGATCCAAACTAGAAAGTTTCCAGACCCTTTGCGAGAAAATGCCAAGACTAACCTGCTCTTCCCTGTTCTTCGAAACCACTTCTTGCTGCTGTTCACCTGTCCTGTTGGGAAGGGCCAGAGTCGGGGAAGACAGCTAAGGCTCTTCAGCAGCCCCTCATGCTGTACCCTCAGTTGTCCTGCCTCTGAGGGATTAAGTGAGCACACAGGGACACCCAAGGGATCCCCCCACCATGAGGCCAGCACCCTAGCCCAGTGAATGGTGGGCTTACCTTGAGGGGCTGGTTTCTCTGTGCTGCTCCTGGTAGCGCTGCTCTCGGCGGGCAGCCTCCTGCAGTTCCCGCTCCCGGCGTTCCTTTTCCAGCTGCCGCTGCTCCTCCTCAGCCCGTCGCTTCTCCTCCAGCCGGCGGTTCTCCTCCTCCTTCTGTAGGGAGGGCTGGCCACTCAACCCTACACTGACCCCTGGCCTCACCCCCTGCCTTGAACCAGGTCCCACAGGCATGTGGTTGAGGAAAGACACTACAGCACATCCCTCACATGCCTTGTGACTTAATCCACTTACGCCTTACTTTAACTACCTATAAAAGATCAGGTAGAACACTCACTACATGCCTGTGTAGCATGCTCATCAGCGTGCCTGCCCCTACTCCATGGTTCTTACCTCAGCTTTGGCCCAGAAGCTGTCTTTTCCAACTCTCTTGATCTCAGATATGGCATTGGTCTTCTGGTACACAGAACCCTATGGGGGATAGCAAATGCTAGAGACCTGGCCCTGGGTGGAAGAACAGGCCCCGAGGTACAGAGGTAGGAGTAGGGTGGAAAGGATTTATAAGAGCATGTAAGTGGACTCAGTGGGGACGTAAGAGCCTGGCCCTTCACCCTCAAGGAGACAGATACCACGTGCCCAGAAAGAGGCCCAGGAATCTGCCCCAGCAGTGATGCTGAATCCCAAGAACACTGGAGGGGTCTCTGGTGGCACCTAGCCCTTGTGCATGGGGGCCAAGGCAGGAAAGGTCCCGTCTACAGACTCCTTGGGACCAGGTAGTTCTAAGGCAGGCCTCTGGCCAGAGCTACCCCTTAGAGAGCTAACCGGCACAGCATTGTCCACAGGAATTATTGTAGAACCCAACTGTATGTCTGATGCTACAGTTCCCCACTATCAACTTGACCACTCAGTGTAAGGACTACAAATCTACAGGTGTCTTCCTATAATGTGGG